CAGACACCCTTTTAGCTCAGTGGTGAAGTCATTTCCGAGGTTCACCATTCAGCCAGGGAGTGGACATCCCCATAAAACCAATGGGACTAATGAGGCACAGCGGTCCAGGGGCAAGGGCCAGAAGGCAGAAGGTGACAGGAAAGCTGGTGATAAGGAACCCAAGTTTGAGTAAGGATAGTGTTGATGTGTTGTGAGGTTGTTAACCATTGTCATATTCCTAGGGTAACATGTGTACTAACTATTAAATGAGAAACTATTTTGTCCTGTAAGCCTTCATCTAAAGTGAGAATAGCAGCACAACTGGAAGAGCGTAGTCGATGTCACTGAACTGTACATGTAGAAATTTTTGAAAAGTTGTATCTTTGACTATGTATTATTGCCACCAAAAAAAAAAAAAAGGTCGAAAAGGGAGACGGTTGACATGTTGTAGGGTTGTTAACCAATGTCATAAAACAATATGTGTACTACTGTTTCATGAGAAACTATTTGTTCTGTAAGCCTTCACCTGAAGTACAATTAAAAAAAAAAAAGTTCATTTTGCTTGTTAATATCTCAAGCACCTAACATAGAGCCTAGCACCACCTGGTTATTCAGTAAATAGCTGTAAAATAAATGAATTAATTAATCAATTAACAAAGCTTTCACTCACCTATAGATACCCTCCTATCTTTTATCCCTTTCTTCTTGTTCACTTTTTTAGCAACTGTAAAATAAGGAGCTAATTAGACCACAAAAGTAAGTGATACTTATTACAGTGAATTCTATAAAATTATTAATGTAAACATAGCAATTGGGGATGTTGTATATACTGACCTACCATATGGCCTCATTTAATTTTAAATAAATATAAAGCATTGGGGGGGAAAAAAGAGTGATTTCTGTTAATCAATCTCAAAATAAGGTAATTTTGTAATATATAACAGACAAAAAAAAAATCAGTGTTTAAATTTTGTAGTATCTTTCAGAACTCAGCATGACCTCCTTTTTAGGAGAAGATGGAAAGGAGACATTCATTCTGCTAGTATAAGGAGATAGTGGCATGATATTTTTTCCCCCGTTATCTAACATAAATAAAACTTTTAAGTAATCCATTTTAATGACCTGCCTGTTTTAATATGTGCATCCCAACCAAGAAAAATGGGGCCTATGCTTGACAGTCCATCAGGAGCTGTGGACGGCAGCAATATGCACACATGGGGTCACCATGAGTCGGAATCAACTTGTCAGCAACCAGTTTTTAATATACATATTAGATGTTCAATAAATACATGCTCATAAGCATGATGAATTCCCTGATCACTGTATAAAACCAAAAACCAAACCCACTGACATCGAGTCAATTCCAGCTCAAAGCGACTCTATAGGACAGAGGAGAACTGCCCCATAGGGTTTCCAAGGAGTGGCTGGTGGATTCAAACTGCCAACATTTTGGTTAGCAGCCACAGGTCTAAACCACTGTGCCACTAGAGCTCGGATCACTATGTAGTGAATACATTTCCATAAACAACACTAAGTCTAGTGTGAGAGGCAACTCAAATGTTTACAACATTTGGAGTCTAAATCTCAGCACAGAATTCCCTTCTGAGCTGCAGACCCAAGTATCCAATGAACATTGGGCATTGTTTGGGTCAAAACATTTTTCCCTACCCTCAGATCTCCAAAGAAGGAAATAATTTCCATTCCATTACGGAGGGGTAAAGAAAAGGGGACCATTTCTTCTATTCTCTGTCCTCTCCTCCTCAGCCCTCATTCAAAACTGCCCGCAGTGTAATTGTTTCCAATTCATTTCCCATACTGCCACCAGAGTGAGTGATCATTATAAGCACAAATTTGATCATCTTAGGATCCTCCTGAACAATTCTTCAAGGATCTTTGTATCATAGAAGAATGTTTATTTTATCATGTAATAAAGAACGTTTAAATATATAATAAATAATGTTTATTACAGGATGAATGCAAAAAGCATTTTTATTTAAAAATAAAGAGAAAGAAAGAACAAAGCAATCAAATTATCAAAATAAAGAAAGGTTTATAAGGTTGAAAATTCTTAATAGCCCTTTAAGCATTGCAAAAAGAAAGGAAGGAGGAAGAAAAAACAACCTTCCATTTTGTAAATATTTTCTTTTCTTCCATTGAGTTGTGTAATGGCAGTGAAACATACAGCTGTCTTTGTTCTATAGGAATGCTTTTCTTCAGAGAAGCTCATCTTTGTTAATGTCTTAATTCTGTTCAAGAAGCACAGATTAGTGCTTAAAAAAAGAGAAGGCAAAAATGAAAACAGTAATTTAAAAAGTTATAGAATGTTGTGTGCCTGGCCTTTCTTGACCTATGACACTGGTGTATACGATGGTGGTATGGCAGTTTAGGAGCCAGGAACAGTTCTCTGAGGTCCACTAACTTGCTCCAAACTTCAGAAGTTTCCATTCTGTCCTCTGGGCACCTGACAGGGGCATGACAGGTTCACTCTGCCTTTCTACTAGATTATAATCTCCTGCACGACCAAAATCCTGTCACGTTAATTTCTATATCTGGCAGAATCCATAGAATATAGTGGGAGCTCAATAATGCTTGTTGAATCAATTAAACAGAGGAAGGGCTGCCAAAGTATTCCCATAAATATAAGTTCACAGCTGAAGTACTAAATAGCCAATATATAGCCTTGGTTTCCCTGCACTCCTCACATGAAATTTATTCTGAAGAAGGACAAGCCAAAGCATGGCATTTAAGGTAGTTTTATTAATTTTTATCATTTTCCATGATGTATTTCTCTTTCATTTCTCTGAGTTCCTTTTTCTTTTATTATCCCTTTTATCTTCTCCATTGTTTCTGGCACTGCTAATGATTTCAACAATGTTTCAAAGTTGACTGTTCTTGTGGTTATAGTTTTTAACTTAAAGAAATTCTACTTTCTAAACAAATGATTATTGACAGGAGACACAGTACTTCTTAAGAATGGTTCTTGAGATGTGTGCTGGAAGTGGGGACAAGATGGCAGAGTAGTCAGATGCTTCTGGTGGTCCCTCTCACAACAAAGACCAAAAAAAACAAGTGAATTGATTATATATGACAATCTAGGGGCCCTGAACATCAAAGGCAAAGTTGAGAAGTCAGACTGAGTGGCAGGAGGAGGGAGAGATGGTTCAGAAGCAGTGAGGGGTTGCCAGACCTGATCCAGTGGGAACCAGCACCTGCAGGCTGGATAGACTGATGTGTGCAGTGAGGCAAGCAGTAGCATTCAGGATGCGTTTTCCACACTGGGAGAGACCGAGCAGTCGAGCAGTGGAGAATCTACTCAGGCCTTCAAAACCAGTTTAAGTGGCACTCAATCAACAAAAGATAAGTACATGCATCTAACCCACTGGGTGGATCAAAAAACATCCCATTTGGGAAGGACCTCTCTCCCATTTACCTACTGCCTCCCTACTGTGCACTGGGCCCTGGGCTGGCTTCAGCAATTGCAGCATCCCCTGGGCCAGACGTAAGACCCATCACATGCCCTGAGCCATTCTCCTGGCCTTGGAGAAGGAACAAATTAACAAACAGGGAAAAAATAATTTGCCAGCTCCCCTAAGCCAGGAACTCGGGGCAGGCACAACTCCCCTAAGCACAGGCATAAGGGATCCATGGACTCTGAATGCCTTTCACCCATGCACAGACCTGTGTGGGCCCATTTCAACACCGTACGCCCTCATTAGCACAATACAACAGGGTAAATAGCTAAAGTCTAACTTCAACTGCATCAGCTACATGGTGGAGTGGCAGGTTTGTGACATTTGACACTACTCTGCCCATCAAGCAGGGTACTCACCTACCTACATCAGGGGACTGAGGACTAGTGGTTCTGCCTACACCACCTAGCCACCTGCAAAGGGGTCCAAGAATAAGTGGTTCCTCCCAGTCCTTACAGCCAACAGCATTGGGTGCCCATAGTCTGGCTTCAAAACCCACCCAACTACACACTCTAGGGAACAGGGACATGCTTTCCTTCCAGACACACTCAGGGTCAACTGTCAGCCCCCTGCCTTGATCAGCGTGTGACCCCCTACTGCAGCCAGATACCTGTGCCTACACCAATCATCCCTGCCCATCTAGGACTGTAGGTAAGAGCCTGCACCACACACTTGGTGACCGACTACCTGGACACCTCAGCTGAATTCATACAAGAAAAGTAAACGGACTCCTGGACTCACATGCCTAGTAACAGATCTAACCACCTGGTGACAGGATGTTAGAGCTTCAAAGGCACCAATAATCAAACCAGCTCACATGAGCAGCCTATTTGGGCATATCAAAACAAAACAAGAAGCTAGGACACAGTAAGAAAACATAAAATAAATGTAATAACTTATTGATGGCTTAAAGACAACAGTCAATATGAAATCACATAAAGAGGCAGACATGATAGCTTCAGCAAGCTCCCAAAACAAAGAATCAAGACATTTTACAGAGGATGAGAATTTCTTGGAATTACCACAGGTAGAATACAAAAGATTAACATACAGAACTCTTCAAGATATCAGGAAGGAGATCAGTCAAATGGCAGAACAAGTCAAGGAACACAAAGACAAAGCAACAGAGGAACCTAAGAAGGTTATAGACGAGCATAATGACAAATTTAACAGGCTGCAAAAATCCATAGAGAGACAGCAAACAGAAATCCAGAAGATTAACAATAAAATTCCAGAATTAGACAACTCAATAGAAAGTCATAGGAGCAGAATTGAGGCAACTGAAGTGAGAATTAGTGAGACTGAAGATAAAGCAGTTGACACCAACTTATTTGACGAAAAATCAGATAAAAGAATTTTAAAAAATGAAGAACCCTAAGAATTACGTGGGACTGTATCAAGAGGAATAACCTACCAGAACAGCAGAGGATAACCGAAAATACAGTGAGAATTGTTGAAGATTTGTTGGCAGAAAACTTCCCTGATATCATGAAAGATAAGAAGATATCTATCCAAGATTCTCATCAAACCCCACACAAGGTAGATCCCAAAAGAAAGTCACCAAGATGTAGTATAATCAAACTTGCCAAAACCAAAGATAAAGAGAGAATTTTAAGAGGGGCTAGGGATAAATGAAAAGTCATCTACAAAGGAGAGTCAATAAAACTAAGCTCGGACAACTCAGCAGAAACAATGCAAGCAGGAAGGCAATGGGATGACATTCATAAAGCCTTGAAGGAAAAAAACTGCCAGCCAATAATTATATATTCAGCAAAACTGTCTCTCAAATATGATGGCGAAATTAAGGCATTTCCAGATAAACAGAAGTTTAGGGAATTTGCAAAAACCAAACCAAAATTACAAGAAATACTAAAGGCAGTCCTCCAGTTAGAAAATCAATAACATCAGATAACAACCCAAAACTAGAACACAGGACAGAGCAATCAGATATAAACCCAGATAGGGAAGTCACAAAAATAAATCAAAGCTAAAATGCTGAAAGTAGGGAAACACAGACATCAATATGTAAAGCATGACAACATAAAAACAAAAAAGAGGGACTAAAAAAAGTAGTCAGAGATCTATCATATGGAGAGGAAGTCAAGGCGATATAAAGAAATAAATGATTGGTTTAAACTTAGAAAAATAGGCGTAAATATTAAGGTAACCATAAAGGAAACTAACAGTCCTACACATCAAAATAAAAAACAAGAAAATCATAAAGACTCAGCAAACACAAAATCAACAACAAAGAAAATACATAAAGAACAGTGATTCAGCACAGAAAATTAAGCTGAACAAAGAAACTCAACAGCACAAAAAAAAGACATCAACATGACAGCACTAAACTCATACCTATCAATAATTATGCTGAATGTAAATGGACTAAATGCACCAATAAAGAGACAGAGAGTAGCAGAATGGATAAAGAAAAAACACGATCCGTCTATATGCCACCTACAAGAGGCACACCTTAGACTTAAAGACACAAACAAACTAAAACTCAAAGGCTGGAAAAAAATATATCAAGCAAACAACACTCAGAACAGAGCAGGAGTGGTAATATTAATCTCTGACAAAATAGACTTTAAAGTAAAATCCACCAAAAAGGATAAGGAAGGACACTATACAATGATTAAAGGGTCAATACACCAGGAAGGCATAACTATAATAAATATTTACGCACACAACAAGAGGGCTCCAAAATGCATAAAACAAACTCTAACAGCAGTGAAAAGATAGATAGACAGCTACACTATAATAGTAGGACCCTTCAATACACCACTTTTGGTGAAGGACAGAACATCCAGAAAGAAGCTCAGCAAAGACACGGAAGATCTAAATGCCACAATCAGCCAACTTGATCTCATAGACTTATACAGAACACTCTACCCAACAGCAGTCAAGTGTGCTTTCTTTTCCAACACACATGGAACATTATCCAGAATAGACCACATATTAGGCCATAAAGCAAGCCTTAACAGAATCCAAAGCATTGAAATATTACAAAGCAACTTTTCTGACCGTAAAGCCATAAAGGTAGAAATCAACAACAGAAAAAGCAAGGAAAAAAAATCAAACACATGGAAACTGAACAACACCTTGCTCAAAAACTACTGGGTTATAGAAGAAACTAAGGATGGAATAAAGAAATTCACAGAATCAAACGAGAATGAAAACACATCCTACCAGAATCTTTGGGACACAGCAAAAGCAGTGCTCACAGGTCAATTTATAGCAATAAACACACATATCCAAAAAGAAGTAAGGCCAAAATCAAAACATTAACCCTACAACTCGGACAAATAGAAAGAGAGCAGCAAAAGAAGCCCTCATGCACCAGAAGAAAGGAAATAATAAGAATTAGAGCAGAATTAAATGAAATAGAAAACAGAAAAACAATTGAAAGAATTTACAAGACCAAAAGCTGGTTCTTTGAAAAGATAAACAAAATTGATAAACCATTGGCCAAACTGACAAAAGAAAAACAGGAGAGAAAGCAAATAACCTGCATAAGAAATGAGATGGGCAATATCACAACAGACCCAACTGAAATTAAAAGAATCATAACAGAATACCATGAAAAATTATACTCTAACAAATTTTAAAACCTACTGGAAATGGAAAAATTTCTAGAAACACTACCAACCTAAACTAACACAAACAGAGGTAGAATAACTAAATAAACCTATAACAAAAGAAGAGACTGAAAAGGTAATTTGAAAACTCCCAACAAAAGAAAGCCCTGGCCCAGACAGTTTCACTG